AAAGAAAACTGGGTTTGACTTTCTACTTGTGTGACCAGAGACAAGTTATTTTTCTGTCTAATCCTCAGGTTCCTCTTCTTAAAATGTACCTAAGAGTATCCATTCCATAAGAATTAGTCATGATTTGATTAAAGTCTAAAGCATGGTCCTTACCCAGTGGGTGCTCATTAAGATTTTGCTATGAATGAATGAATGAATGAATGAGCCAGTTATCTGAGAGACAAGACAAAAAGGCAATGTTTTAGAAAGGCTACATGAGACTCCAGACACACCATGTTACATGGAGCCTGGCTGTTCCTAGTCACCTTCCAAAGACCACCCTCTACCTAATGGACCTGGTGACGCCCCACACTAATGGCCTGAACAGGAGCGCTTTGCATGAAGTAGGAGGAAGTTGAGGACAAAGCTGGCTCTTTAGGGTAACCTTTAAGGTTTTCCTAACCTGCTTCCAGTTTACTCCCCATGGCTCCCCCTCCTTATCTCCCTTACATCACAGCTTGGGCGCGCTGGGGCTGGGGTTTGCCAAGAGCAAGCGTCCATGCACCCAGATGAGCCACCCACAGTAGACACCACTGTTCTCGGGGATGCTTGAGGCTGGAGCCCTCAGACTCTGGGAACAAGGCAGGGCAAGGGGGTCAGCTCCAGAGCAGAAGCAGTTGTGGGGACTAAATGGTCACTTCTGAGGTGCTTCCTGCATGTTAGGGGCAGCGATCCCCAGTCCTGGGTGCAGGCTAGAATCACCTGGGGAGCTCTGTTAAACCCCAGTGCCCAGGCTGCTCTCAGATCAACGACATCAGAACCACACAGTTCAGGGATATTTTATGCTTTGCAGGTGACTGAGATGTGCAGCCAAAGTTGAGATCCCCTCTGCCTGGCACTGTTCAAAGTGCTTTCCCAGAATGATCTCATTTCATGTTCATGACCACTGTTGTCAGGACTGTCCTATAGATAAGAAACTGGGGTGCAGGAAAGTTTGGCATTTGCTGGAGTTATATTTAATTAAAAAAGTGTCATTATTAGAACAAACATATTTGAATTTTGATCATTCAAAATGTACATGATAACAAGAACAACAACAAACCAACGAGAAAGTGCAAACATAAAAAGGAGAAAGAACACGACTGCATCGACTGCNACATTACCACCATTCCCAAGAGAATGAAACCAACATCCCAGACCCTCCCCATGGTCCTCCTGGCTACACCACGGGAATGACGTTTTCCCTTATACACAGGTTTCCAGCCCCATGCCTCCCTCCCCCACTCATACATCTCAATTCTACATAGTCATGAAATAGGAAAACACTTCCAAGTGTCATTAAATAATAACCCTGCTCTGGTCTGGGTGATATAAACATTGGAGAGCTGGCCAGATCTGACCCAAGGGGAAGCCTTCTTACGATCCCTTCCAGCCCAAGGAGCTGCGGGTTCTATGTCACTGATGGCCTTGGACCACTGGCAGAAGTGGGAGAAGGCTTATTTCCAACAGAGCAGAGTCAACTAGACCTGGACAAGAGGTTTGTCTCTGCTGCTTCTCAACCAGGGCCTCTGGCTTAATTATTTAACTCTTCTGAGCTCCAATGAGCTCATCTTGACAATGGGAATAATGAAACTGCCTTTAAGGTTGTCAAATCTACAGCACTGGGAGACCCACCTAGTGCTTACAAAGTAGCTGTTCAGCACTGTGACTGCCTGAAGTTCAGAGCCCAAGATTGGTTGTGGGGGGAGCTCAAATTTTCGTATGTAAACTCTTTAAAAGTGTAATGTTTGTTTTTTTCTCTAATACATAAGCAAAGCA